TTTACCGAAGAATCTCTCCGCCAACGCCGCTCCTGGGGCGAAAACCTTACCTTCTACACTGGCTCCGCCTACCTCACCGCATCTCTTGCTGGCGGCGGCTCCGGGTTCTTCTCCGCCCTCCGATCCTTCGAACCCACTGACACCCTCAAGCTCAAGGTCAATAGGATCCTCAACTCCTCTGGACATTCGGGTCGGATCTGGGGCAACCGGGTTGGGATTGGGGGTTTCATTTACGCGATGATGGAGAGTGGCATCGTAGCGGTCACCGATAGGGATGATGTGTGGAGTAGCGTGGCAGCTGGGCTTGGAACTGGGGCGGTTTGTAGGGCGGCCAGAGGGGTTAGGTCAGCGGCAGTGGCAGGTGCTCTTGGTGGATTGGCTGCTGGTGCGGTGGTGGCTGGGAAGCAGGCGTTGAAGAGGTATGCAATGATTTGAAGGAAAGAGAGCGAGATAAAAAAGAGAGACCAAATTAAAAGAAAAGGGAAAAGGGGGTTTTTAGGTTTTTTTTTTTAAAAATAGTCTAATTTGTCTCAGTTTTGAGGATGAATCTGGTAGTTACTACAATGATTAAAAACCTGTTGGAATCAAGAATTTCAAAGAAAATTATTAGCAGAAGAATGAAATAACTGATGCTACTTGTGAACTGGTCTGATCGATGATGAATAGAATAGCTTTTTGTTGTACCAAAATTGTCTGTGACAAGTTTAAATTACCTAAGATCCTTATTTTAGAGATTGCTTGGAAATGCTGTTTAACTTGTATTTTTAAAATATTTTAATTTTTGTATTTTTTTTTAAATAATTTTTTATATTTTAAATTGATTTAACATGTTAATGTTAAAAAATAATTTAAAAAAAATAAAAAATATTATTTTAATATATTTTAGAATAAAAAATATTTGAAAAAACAATTATAACTATGGCCATAATTAAAATGCTAAACCGCCTGTGTTGTGTGTTTTTCTTTATAACCCATCAAAATTGAAAGTGCCTTGGAATATGATGAAATTATCTCTTCATCATTAATCTCTTATATCAGTATTATTTTTGAAAAGTGAAACTTTTACTTATATATTATGTTATTTAATGAATAATTATTCTCATTTTATTTTTATAGGTATTTTCAATATTTTTTTATTTTTTTAATTGATCATTATATTTTTTTTATCATATAAATAAATAAATAAATAAAGTTATTTGACTGAAATGAATTTATAATTAAATAAATAAAGCTATTTAATTGAGATGAGTTTATAAGTGGATTATATATTTAATGGATTAATTTAGATTAACTAGATTTAATTTAATATATTATTATTTAAATAATATCTTAAAAGGATTCACTTTGAATATTTTTTTAATAAAAAAATTTAATCTAACTCATAATATTCCACTCATAATATTTCACGGGAGTTAACTTAAATCACACTTGGTTGTTTGGAAGGATAGGTGGAGAATTTATTATTTTTTTACATGGAAATTTGATGCAACAGTGAAACCATTAAGTAACATTTATAAGAATAAGCATGTTTATTAAATTCCTCTCGGTTTGATGGATCAAATTGCCATTAACTCGGGTATGCTTTAAAAACATGAGTGTTGACTTGTTGATGTAGTGATTAATTTGTAACTTGATTAACACAGTTTACACTGATTTGATTTTACAAAAAAAAAAATGAGTTCATTCAAGTTAACTAAGTTAATTCATTTAATTTATTGACTCAGATTTTATGCAAAATCAACTTTAAATCAAGTACATGATTGTGAGGATAAGGTTTTATTTTGTATTGTGGTCAAATCATGTTTTTAATTATTTTTAAAATGTTTTTAGCTTTAAACTAATTATTTTTATATTTTTAGATTGTTTTAATATATTGATATTAGAAATATATTTTTTAAAAAATTATATTATTTAAATATATTTTAAAATAAAAAATAATTTGAAAAACAATCTCTATAATATTTTTTAATAAACTCAAAGTTAGATCGATTGATAACATGCGGTTAAGTATACACACTTCAATACGATTGAAAGTTCTTCCTGCGTGTTCTGTTACATTTGAGAGCAAATATTTTGCGATGGAAAATATTGGCATCTAGCAAGAAAATGGCAACCATTATGTTTGTTGTTCTAGGATTAATGTAATAAGAATTGATATTCTACTAATAATATATAATATAATAACCAACAATATAATTAAAAAAAAGGAGTGAATTGGTGTTCCACTTATAATTTTAAATAATAAAAAATATTCATAATTAAAATAATTAAAGTATGAGATAAAAAAATAAAAATTGCAAACTTAGTTTCTAACATTAGTTCTAGAAGCCTATATTCACATCTTAATTATCAATTATGTTTAAGTATTGTACTCTTTTTTCTTCTTTTTTTTGATAATATCTCATCTAAAAATTGCAAACTTAGTTTCTAACATTGGTTCTAGAAGCCTATATTGTACTCTTTTTTCTTTTTTTTTTTTTATAATATCTCACCCATGTCAAGAGTTTTTTCAAACTATTAAATGTTTATAATTATGATTTGTTTACAATAAGATATATTCTCTTAAAAAGTAGATTATAAAATTAAAAATTATAATATCTATAGCTCATGCAATAACACTTAGGATGATTGAAGGTGTGTAAATGTAATAAGTATAAGATTTTATACTCATATGCTAAAATATGAAGATTTAAGTTAGCATAATTTAGAGTACGTAAAGATTGATGATGTCTAGTATTTTCTTTTTTTAAAAGAATAGCTTCTATGTCATGTATGTTCTGAATCTCTTTTTAATTTTACACAAAAAAGATATTTCCAACAAAAAAAAATACTAGTAATTTATAGTCATTAGAATGCCTCTGACTGTTAAAGCAATCTACCATTTCAAATGACCATATCATCAGATCGACCAGTTCTTATAAAATCTTCAAGAGTTCGTCATGGAAGAAAAATAGTTGATCGATTCACTTGATATGCCTAGACAATAAACCAGTTCAACTTAAATATTAGGTTTGACAATTTCAAACCTACTAGAACTTGAACTAATTATATATATATATATATATATATATCATATTTATGCATGCAAAGTAAAGCATGCAAGTTTATTTTAATTTGCTAGTTAGTAAGATATAAAAACTTAATAATAAACTCTAATATAAATTTTTAATAGCTAAGTCTTTACTTACTTTGTGTCTTGAACTTATTGATGAATTTTTTTATTCAATTTCATATTTTTGTTGATATGATCTTCATATAAAATCTATTTAAACTTAATCTTATCTAAATATATTATCAATTCATTTTTTTATTTAATTATTATCATCAAAATAAAAGATATTATAAATATTAATATGATTCATTGGTCAATAATCTTCTCTTTTTTAATGATGATATTTAATGTATATTTATAGATATAAAAACATGTATATCCCTCTATATTTTGCAATATAATCTCTTAAATACTTAAACAATAATACGCGATCTATAAATATCTCTCCCTTTTAATTATATAAACATGCATTTATATTTATTCTCTTCTCAATATTTATTTTCTCATTTTTCCTCTCTGTTTATCATCAACAATAAATAAATAAAATAAATGAAAATAATTAGAGAAATGAAATATAAAAATATAATATAATATTCAAAATACAACATTCATTTACAAAAAGAAAAGGAAAGTAAAATGCATCCACTAAATCATTAATTCAAACTCAAAAATTTTAAAACTTGTTAGCCTATTTCAAAAAACTTGTTAGCCTTATTTTGCATTGTGGTTTAATCATGTTTTTTAAATTTTTAAATTTTAAATTAGTTTATTATGGTGTTTTTAAATTGTTTTAATATATTAATATCAAAAATAAATTTTAAAAAATATAAATATTTTGATGTATTTTTATATAAAAAACATTTTAAAAATAATATCTACCAAAATTCAAATAATTATATAACTTGTAACTAAATTCAGATTATGAAATTGGATTGTTGATGACGTTGATAGAACAAAAAAAAACATGCCCTTGTTCTCCGTTGAAATATAGAAGAGACCTTAATCAATGATGAAGAAGGGATCAAGCAAAGGAGTATTTGAAAATATCATAGTAATTATTTTTACAAAAAGAAAAGGAAAGTAAAATGCATCCACTAAATCATTAATTCAAACTCAAAAATTTTAAAACTTGTTAGCCTATTTCAAAAAACTTGTTAGCCTTATTTTGCATTGTGGTTTAATCATGTTTTTTAAATTTTTAAATTTTAAATTAGTTTATTATGGTGTTTTTAAATTGTTTTAATATATTAATATCAAAAATAAATTTTAAAAAATATAAATATTTTGATGTATTTTTATATAAAAAACATTTTAAAAATAATATCTACCAAAATTCAAATAATTATATAACTTGTAACTAAATTCAGATTATGAAATTGGATTGTTGATGACGTTGATAGAACAAAAAAAAACATGCCCTTGTTCTCCGTTGAAATATAGAAGAGACCTTAATCAATGATGAAGAAGGGATCAAGCAAAGGAGTATTTGAAAATATCATAGTAATTATTTTATTTTTAAAGTATTTTTTATTTAAAAATATATAAAAATAATATTTTTTAATTTAAAAAAAATTATTTTTAACATCAAAAATATCAAAAATAATCTAAAAAAATTTAAAAAATCATATTTTTTTAATTTAAAAAAAATTATTTTTAACATAAAAAATTAAAAAAATAATCTAAAAAAATTAAAAAAATCATATTGTTTTTTAAATACACGTTTCCAAGCAGTTAATTATCCTTAGATCATACCAACAAGTCGAATCACAGTTTTAAAACTGAAGTCAATAAATCACATAACTACAAACCACTGCCACGAGATGGAGCTACTTCCAGGAGAAATTTTCTTCTTTTGCCCTAAGCAGCTAAAGATTATATGAACTTGTACCAGACATTCCCGTGAGAAAGAAATCTCAGACAGACAGACCGAGAGCCGAGAGCAGAACAGAATAAATCTAAAACTGGAACTCCATACTCAGCTTGAGCAACAGCTAAAATTTACATAACCATAACCTTAGCACAGTGCGTGTCAAAAACACAGGAAATACGGAGTGGAGTTCAGATAAACTATAGCTATTTAGTACACACTAGTTTCTATCCTTGTACACACATTAAGCCCACGAAAAAAAGGAATGGACCAAACTATGTATTATTTAAAGATGTAAGTTTCTAATATATAGGTATGCAGACCTGAACTAGAGGACGGAGAGAACCTTGCTTAAGATTTGCTCTTGAACTTCCTTTGACCTTTCAAGTCCACCACAATCACAGAGATATTATCCTTGCTTCCCTTCTGGAGAGCAAGCATCGAAAGGTAATCAGCTGCTGCTTGGGCTGCGGGATCTATAACCTTGCCCCTTTCAAGAAGAGAAGCAACCCCATTCTTTTTGTGCCATAGCAGAATCCGCCTTCGAGCCACTTCACAGGCTTCCTCATTTGTAATAACATCCCATAACCCATCACTCGCTAAAATGAGGCATTCATCATCTTTTGCACGAGGAAGAAACATGACTTCTGGATCGGGAATTATCCATGGTTTTAAATATCTATCACCTGTTAGATAAAAATGATTAGGCAAGAGCGAGCTACCCTTGATTATAACTTCCTCATGGATCAATCCTCAAATATTGTTAAATATAAAGCTAAAGCATCAATGGCAAAACAAAATGACTCTAAACAAATTGCCATTCAATGTTCTAATAAAGGAAAATAAAAGGAACTTCTAAAATTTGATTTGTATAGTTGATAAAGCAAGCTGGTATAAACTTGGACCTTAGGATTAAGTAATTGAACCATGGGAATAAGCAAGCTCTCATAATTGTTTCAATTTCAGCAGGTTTTACATCCATGCTAAAAGTTCGGTACACATACCAATTGACCTCGACATTGCAAGAACACCAAAGACACGATGTCCATTCCACTGTATCACCTTGCCTCCAGATGCCTCAATCCTGGCATATTCATCTTCTCTGTTTGGCTGGAAATGATAAGGGAGAAAATAGTTATCTAGACAGTTTTTTGTTCTTATTCATGTAAAGAACATGTCTTACTTTGTGATCCACTGATAATGCCATTGGTTCTTTTCCACGACAAAGTACTGCCCTTGAATCTCCACAGTTTGCAACTATGATGTGGGATGAGCAGACCAAGGCAACTACAGCTGTAGATCCAACTGTTTCTGGCGCTATGGGCTCAGAACTGGAAATAGAAGCATTTCCATCACCTTCAATGATGCCTCTAATGCTCTTTCCTCCAATCTCATCATCAACCTTAAGAAAGCAGCTACTGAAAACTTTCTCCCATTGCAGCAGCTGATCTCCCCAGATAATCCCATCATTTGAATTGTTTTTAATGTTTCCAAACTCTTCAGCCAAGGCCAAATGGATTCGGTCACGACAATAGTTAGCAACCTGCATGAGACCCCTCCGAATCATGCTCACATATCCAATACTGAGCAATTATTCACCTTATGGAGTACCTCAAGTATTAAACCAATGGCATGTGTTTTAAATATGCACAAATTAAGTAATTTCTTCAAGTTTTTGCAACACAAATGTACGCTGCAGACTGAAGTAAAACAATGTTGCCAATAATAAGTCATTTGAATAGGTAAAGAATTGAAAAGATTAGCTAAGAACAAGTGGAGCTTAAAACGAGATGCTAGGATTTTATATATGCATGAGGTATCAAAACAAAAATACATCAATCTAATTACACATGCTCAACTAACAATTCTTTCCAGATCCTCCAAAAATCATACAGCTTGGTAATATACCTCAATAAATCCCACATAGATTTGGAACTAAAGTATCATATATAAGGGGAGGAAAACAAATATCTAGCTTTATAGATGTACCTGTGCGCCCCCATGGCCATCATAAACACCATAAAAATGACTAGTTAGGTGTGTCAAACTCTCGCTGATGCCATCAACAACACGATCACCAATGAGCATCTTGATAGGAACTTTTGCAAATCGAGGAACAGCTGCAACAGCATCTTCCATTTCTGATCTTCTACCACATATAGATACAGAACCCCAAAGAGGAACGCAATCAAGCTCAAAAACACTCCGAGTAGGTCCTCCAATGAGATTCTTCTCACTAGGCAACTTAAGAAGCACTGCCGATGCCTTTATGTCAGATCCATCAGAGATTTCTGCATTTGGGCTGACTGCTCCAATAAGGAGTTTTGCCGTAGGCACCTGCACCTCATTTGTTGACTCCACAATAATAGCCTTAGCAATAATTTTGGTATTTTCCATTTTAACAGACTTTGGTAAGCTTATTTCAGATGCTGCATTCAATACCAATATCCCCTTAGGGATAATTCCATTACTGTCTTCCACGACTGACAAAACTTCATCTTCCTCAGTTTCCTGGATCACCGCATCACTAGTTATGGAACCATTTTCATTCTCATGCAACATATTCAGCAAAACAGTTTCTCCATCGCCACCATCATCTGGTGTTGTCATGGTGGTCAAGTTCAGCTCATTCTTAGCATGACTGCAACTTTCAGCTCCCCCAGAAAGAGACTCCTCGGAGACCACCTTTCCAGAATCGGACAGCAAGCATGCAGTCCCTGTTACAAGCTTTATCCGTGTAATTTCTACATGGGTTGCAATCCCTGCGTTATCGCACATTGAATTGCCTAAACTAAGCGTCATTGCGAGTGCTGGAGACATCTCTTCCATCAAGTCCTCTGTCTATATGTTTAATTAGAAGTTAAACACAAAGAATACACCTAATTCTCACTCAATCTACCGATTCTCATCCTCTTCATCTCCTTCCACCTCTGAACATCCGATAAAGCTTGGAAATTCTAACAAAACTTGTTCCATCAAATGAAATCACAATGACCCATCAATCTTTTTTCCACAAAAAAAGATACGCAGAAATCAAATCAAGGAACCTAAGCAGATCAGATCTGGTGAGAAATAATGGATCTGACTCTCTAATTCTTACTCCAGTTATCCTACAACTCCATAGCTAATCAAATTCTTCATTTTTTTCTTTTACCTCGATAACAAAATCCTATCTCCACCAACCTAAAAATCAAGATCAAGACTTCACACTCAAACCCAAGAAACAGAAAGCAAGATTAGTGGTGATGGGAATTAAACAGCCAATAAAGGGGAAAACCACCTCTCCAAATAATCACAAGAAAAATCTTATAAAGGTAAGACCTTTTCCACGTAAAACTTAGGTTCTCCTGGATCTAAGGCAACCCCATCTCAGCTTCTCCTGAATTATGCTTCTCCTCTCTACTGTTGTTCTTCAATAAGCATGACCGACCTATCTCCTCTATACAAAATAAAAGAAAGCACGGATATGATCTTCAGACCCTCTCTGTAGACAATGAAAAAAATAATAATCCCATGTTGTCAAAGAAAGGATTGAAGGGTTGATGAGCTTACCAGTTGAGATACTGAAACCATGATGAGTTTTCAGCTAAGCCTCCCTTGCTACCAGATTTTATTTTCATTTTTCCTGTTCTCTCATGTTTCTTTTCTGGGGCAAAGAGAGAATATGTGGAAAATGCTTTGCTTTCCTTGTGTTTTTAATTATTCTTTAGTCCCTAAATATTTGATTTGATAACATATCAGTCTTTCATCTTTTCAAACATTCTCAATTCTATTTTTTATGGTTTTGAAATGGTAAATTCATTATAAACCCTATGTATTAGGTAAATCTACCATAAAAGGTTAGTATTAATTATTTGAAATATGTTAGAAAATAATTATTAATTTTTCAATCACTCGTTTAACAATTTACCATTAACAAAATGAATAATTTATTTGTTTCAATCTAAATGTTTAATCGCCCACCGTCTTATTTATTAAATAATATGTGGTTATAGGCTCTGAGAGAAAAGCCAATATAGGGAGTAAGTTGGATTTTCAATGGAGAAATCAATAAAAGTTTAAGTTATAACTTCTCAAACATAAATAACATACAAATAAAGGAGTCAGATATTTACTAAATGAACTGAGACCGATGCAATGTGGTCATGCAGGGGACACGTATAAATGTAATTAGAGTCCTTTTGGTTTCTAGTATAGGTTTTTTTTTTAAAATGATAAAATAATGTTTTATAAAAAATATTTAGAGATATAATACAATTTAAAAGTTATAAATAACTTCTATGTTTTGCTAGTCGCACTTATATTATAAAATTATTGGATACATGATTTAATAAAAAGATGAGGAGAAACAAAAAAAAAGAAGACTCTAGAAATATATTAAAATTTTAATGATAACATCATTAGTACAATTAGAAATATATCAACAAGATAAATCTAACAATATAAAAAAAGATTACCAATAATGACCCGAAAAGACCGCACAAATAATCTAGAGACAAGTGAGCCTTAATACCTTGGACAACATACGTTGCTCACTTCATTCATCATTTATGACCTTTTTGGTATTGTTAATTTTTTCTCATTGAGATCTTTTTAATAGTACTAGTGATGTCATAATTAGAGTTTCTATGTATTTTCAAGGTTTATTTATTTATTGTTATTTATATATCATCTCTCCTCATTATTTGTGAAGAGAAAGGAGAGAAAAAAAGGGTAAAAACAAAGGAAAAAAATAACTCTAAAAGCATATCGAAACTCTAATAATAACACCATTGGTATTTTTAAAAATATCTTGACAAGATGAATAAAAATCTTGACATGATGAATCCAACAACATCAAAATAAATGGTGAACGGAGTGGGTTACATGAGTTGTTCAAAGGTGTGGAGGCTTACTTGTCTTTAAGTTGTTCATATGGCCCTCTCTGATCATCATTGATGACCTTTCTTGATGTTGTTAGATTTATCCTGTTGAGATTTTTTTAATGATACCAGTAATGTCATCATTAGAGTTTCAATGTGTCTTCAAAGTCTTTTTCTTTCCTTTTTTCTCTCTTTATTCTCCTATCTTTCTTTATTGAGTAATGTTTCCAGCAATTTTACAATTTGAGAGAGTCATATATCATTCTTGCAACTCGAGAATCACAAATATCATTTGCGACTCTCTAAACTTTGTTATTTCCCTGAAAAAATTTTGCACTATGTTATTTTATCATATATTTTTTACTATGCTATAAACTAAAAAGACTCAATGCAATTATCTAACGTTATTTAAAGAAAGTTGTCTTTGTATGATATAAAAAAATAATTATTAGCAAGGTTGTCAAACCACACATCATATATAAACTTGTATCATAAAAACAGATCATAAAATCATAAAATTTTAAATAATTTTTTTCATAAAAATAATAACCAATTTCATCAACAAAGATGTAATGTACTTGTTCTTGCATAATAAAATCCTACTAAGGAAGATCTAAGAAAAAAAAGTTGGAAGTGGTTGGTAAGACTATGTGTTTATAAAAAAATATTGAAAACAATTATTTTCACAACTATGTTATCTTGTTAGCTGACACTAGTTCCAATGCTCCCTTTAAATGCATGACCATTTGTAATGATAATTTTAGTTTATTTGATGCCTTTTGTCTAGTTAAATAATACACTATTTTTAGATATAATTATGTTTTCTTTCAGATATTATTATATTTTCATAATTTTAAGATCTTTCTTGACACACCATGAATCTTAACAAAGAAATTGATAAAGAATTGAAGGCTTTGTATGAACTACAATGAATGAATCAAACAATTCAAAGTAGGATTTTTTTTCTTTTACTCTTGAAACCTGGTTCATTGTCAGATCATATCTTAGAAAAGTTACGAGATTATATATGGAAAAATCATAAAGCTTTAAACTTAAAAGACTTTGATATTAGGCATAAACACCTAGTGGGTCAAACTTCAAAGTATAGCCAATCACTTATAACCGTAAACATATCTTTATAAAATAGAAATTTTCAAAGCCCTCTCCCATAATAGATAATTTTTTATTTGTTAGGTAAAGTTTAAGCAAGACTATATTTCCTTCATCCTTTCACTATTGATCGAAGAAAGAATCCATGGATACAAGTGCTTGCAAGGCTTGTGTGTATGTGAATAAACACAAGGGTATGCAATGAGAAAGATAAGAATTTAAAATTTAAAATTATTGTAAAATCATAAAATCATGATTTTACTTGATTTTAGTCCAATTTTATTATTTTCCAAATTTTATATGATTTTCTACAATAAATATATGTGGACTCGTAAAATCATATGATTTTACGAGTCCACATATATTTATTGTAGAAAATCATATAAAATTTGAAAAATAATAAAATTGGACTAAAATCAAGTAAAATCATGATTTTACTTGATTTTAGTCCAATTTTATTATTTTTCAAATTTTATATGATTTTCTACAATAAATATATGTGGACTCGTAAAATCATATGATTTTACGAGTCAACTTGTAATGTTAACATCCTTACTGATTACATTCTATGAAGACAAGTATTGAATTGATTTTTTAATTAGGCAAAAGACATGTGTTCCCTCCACTCTAAAAGTACATTACTCCTTTAATAATGTCTATATTTATCTCCTTGTACTAATCATAACCAAAAAAAAATAATAAAAGAAGAAATAAAGGATTTAGAGTATATTTGGTATTGTGGTAGCTTTTGTGGTTGTGGTTTGAAAAAAGTAAGTTTATAAAATCACTTTTAGTTGTGGCTGGCTTGATTAAATGTGTTTTATTAAAATTATAGTTGTAAATAAAATCACCAAAAAGAGCATGAATTAATTTCTTATTTTGCATTGCATTATTAATATATTGGAAAAACAATAATATAAAAAACATTGGTTTTATTATCCTATTAAATTTGTTATATTACCATCTCGAACATAATCCATACATGAAGACCTCTAGTTTCCATGAATTTGTGAATGTAGAATCACATCAATTAAAATATCATCAGGAACAAAATTAAAACTATAATCAAACTCGATAAATACTACACATCTTACTGCAACTTCCTTATATAATTGTAGTGCCATGAATCTCACAACAATTTGAACTTGTGTTTTGTAAAGAAATATATGCATGTTCTAAAAAATTCTCTACTTTTTTTTTTCCATACTCCAAATGTACATTATATTACACAACGTATGAATACAATTGAATATTTCTTCTTAACTTTGTGGTTGGCTTCGTCAATGAAATTCTTGTAGATGATATCTTTCACCTCTATATAGTCTTAAGAGATCATACTAATTTGGATATCCAAAATCAACAATAAAATACTTCCCTGCAGTAACAAAATGTTTCTTTGTAACTTAATCCCTATTACTTACTAAAAAATTAACTTGTCTAAATATAATAACATTTACTCTTTTTTTTCCTAATACTTTTTGGTGACTTTGGAAATTTGATATTAGGAAATCCCCTCAAGAAAAATTCTCATATCATATGTGCTACCTTATCATCCAGCCTAAACAAATATATACTATACGTAAAAGTTACATGAAACCATTAAATTTTGTGTTGATACATTTTTTCTATTAATATATGGTATTTGACTTTTTAGTAATATACACGCACACATATATATGTCATTGATAGATCCAATACAATTCTACAACAAAAACAAGAAGAAAAAAAAACATCATTTTGAATGTAACAAGCTAGAATTCATATCAAATACTAATCAGTATTATCGCACGTGTGTGGTGTCGCGACGATTGTCTACCTTCAAGAAAAATTGTAAAGGTCTATTTGGAAAATATAGAGCAAATATAAAGAGACAATGAATTCTTGTCTCTTATTAGTAAAAATAAAATGGGAGTCGTCATCTAGTATTTTAGCCACTAGAAACCCTAATTGGTTTCAGAGATAGGGTACGGAGACTAATTGCGTAAAGGAAAGATATTGGCACCCCAAATACACCCTACTTAAGGTAAGTTATATTGTTTTGTTGTATGATAAAATCTAAAGTCTTATTATAGTTTTTAATTGTCGGTCTGTCTATGGTTTAAGAAAAGTCTTTCTCTGTAAAGAAATCCTTATTTTATCAGGTAAAAACTTAATCTACGAATCCTTATTTTATCAGGTAAAAACTTAACTATTCTATGTAGATAAAAGAAAATACTTTTTTAATATTGAAAATACGTTTTACATATAACTTCATAATCCTTGATACTAAAACAAACAAAATAAATTTTTTTGTTATTTTTAAAATTTTAGCTAATGTTCTATTGACTTTAATAAATTGGATATTAAAACTAAAATGCATACTAAAACATAGTTTTTTGGTTTATGAAAAACACAATATAATTTTTTAGCTTTGAGACACTTAGTTGTATGCATAATGTTTTTTTGTATTTTGGACCGAAATTGGCCTAAGATCCCCAGCCCACCTTAGCTGGTTACTATGCTCATCTTTACCTCGCCTACAAAGATTTGCACCGTGCATGTCTTGCATGGCAAGGGAAGAAATGAAAGCAAAGTTTTTACCTGGAGAAGTGAAATGCAACCTCAGTCGTTAGTGGTGACCAGCGATGGCAATGGATCTAGCGGGGGCGGTGTTGGTGGCAGCTTTGTTTTTCTTTTCTTTCTTCCTCTTTGCATC